CCATACAATGTATTGTTGGCTATTTCTACAAATATACCCCAGCGACTTAACACTGCTTTTGTGCTCCAGGGACACATTTAGGTTTATGTATATGCTTTATTTTATTAGCTGTTTTTTTCCGAAGCATTGTTAGATGCAAGTGTTTCCTGTCATAGTTATGCAATAGCTTCATAGTTTCATAGCTATTAAACTATAACTATCTTGTTGTGATTTTAAATCTGTAGAAAAATCTCAACGTAAAAAGAGGTGCGACAGTCTGATTTTGTAGTGGCTGTGCTTTAAAATTAAATTTTTATAATCTTAATTCAAATGATGAAGGATTCTGAAAGTCTGACAGTAATCAGTGTTGAGTTCTACTGTAAGGTTAACCCTGCCTGCTTTAAATATTTCAGAATAATTATCAGTTCTATTAGAAATTCAGAAAAATTAATCAAGTAATCAGTTACATTAATAAAGTAACTGAAATAGTTACACCACTTATCACATTTTAAATAGAGTAACTTGTAATCTGTAACCGATTACATTTCCAAAGTAACCTTCCCAACACTATTTACACACACACACACACACACACACACACCATTAGAACTGCACAGAGAATACAAGAAGGGCTTAAAATACGGCACCAGCGCACACATTCACACAGGAACGAGAGGAGAACCCACGGCTGCCGCTGTGTGCATTAGCCCACATACGGTCTGAATATAAGCAAGAGGTAGGAGGAGCCCTGTCATATACTATATAAGCTGGAGGGAAAGATAGATAGGAGAGCCACCTGACCTACATATAATAAAGGGTTTCACAAACACACACTCGAACGTATGCATAAATGGCATTCCTAGCTCTGCCATCGGATGCACAACTCAAAGCTCGAGCGAATGAATCACTTTCCATTCTCCAAGCAGTGTGCATGGACGGGAGAGCCGTCTAATGAGTCAGCTGGAGAGATGCGAGGAGCTTATGCAGCGCAGAAACGCAAAAACTTTTCACGCATGATGCATTAACACCAGCGCTGAATGTAGGTTACTTGCATATTCTGAGGCCGTGTGATTCTCATGTATTTGGTGCACCGACACTTCTTGCATCTTTTTAAGGCATGCTTAAGTTCAGCCGGAATATGATCAAGATACTAACCCACTTACATTCCACCAACTGCTATTCTTAGAAGAAGTGTAAACATGCAATATGCAAATAAAATATCACAGATGTTGCAAGATTTACCTAGCCTTATTTCCAAATGACTACAGCCCCATTGGCTCCCTCTGCCAATGCATTGATGAAATTAACAGTTGGATGTGCCAGAACTGTCTTCAGTTAAACAAGGAGAAAACCGAAGTCATTGATTAGTAATATGCATTGCTAAGAACTTAATTTGGACAACTTTAAAGGAAATGTTCTCAATATTTTGATGGAAACATAGCTCTAACAAGTTAAAATACTGCAAAAGAGAAATATCTTCAAAAAAAAATTCCTCAGAAACTAGGTGGAAGCACCTGCTGCTGAAATCATTCTTGCTTTTGTTTTTTCGTTTCAAGCCATCGTAGATCAGTTGGTTGGTGTTTTCACGGCGAGTAATGAGTTAAAATACTACAAAAAGAGCCTATTTTTTAAATTTGCTTTGAATAGAAACTCTCAAATGCATTCAGGATCGACTCTGTTCGGAATTTCGTCACGAGAGTTTCCGTTATCGCAGAAGCTAGCTGGAAGAATCTACTGCTGAAATCTGTCTTTCTTTTGGTTTTTCATTTAAAGCCATCATAGTTTGGTTGGTTGGTTGGTTGGTGTTTTCACGGCGAGTAATGAGTTAAAATACAACAAAAAGAGCCTATTTTTCAAATTTGCTTTGGATAAAAACTCTAAAATGCATTCAGGATTGACTCTGAGAAATTTCGTCACGAGAGTTTCCGTTATTGCAGAAACTAGATGGAAGTACCTGCTGCTGCAATTTTTCTTGCTTTTGATTTTTCGCTTCAAGCCATCCCTCTCTTTGTTGCTGGTGAAGGGTAACATGGAGGCATAGCCGTGCTCCGCTTCTGCAAATCCAAACAGAGACATTTAGAAGCTCATTAGACCACAAAGCACACCGGCTACCTGAAAATCAGAGCCATTGATTACAATTATTGACCGTTTTTTTAGAACCTGGGATGCTATACATGTTACAATTAACCCATTTCTTGACAAATGTCTTGCTTTTGGGTCAATGATGTCATCTGAACTGGAGTAAACCCAATAGCCAGCAGAACCACAACAGATAGATGGGAGGGGGGGATGCACCAGGAATCCCTCCACTGTAAACCAACAGCAATGCAATGCTACAAAAGTGCATTGATTGCAATTCCACATTTGCGCACAAACACGCCATCAGGCATCATTAAAAAATATATCTATGCCATATGCACTTGGGTTTTATCCCTAGAGGGGGTTAGGGACACATTAGTGTCCCCTATGTGTGCTGACCAGACAGCTGTCTTGATGATCTTCCCCAAATATCACAACAACAGAAAACACACCGTGTGCATATCATGCATTCGCCTCTAAATAAACAAACAGGTCGGAGCCCAATTGTTTTGCTTTGTAGCAGACAAGAACCCTAGCAACAGTGTCAGGATTCATTTGGATGCAAAATATCATTTTTTATAGCTTATAAACATATGTTGCAATACGTCTTTACCTCTTTCTCTCCGATCGAGATATTCAGCTGCTTCGATTAACATCTGCAGTTTCTCAATAGCCGTCATTTTAAGCAATAAACAGCGATTAAAAAACGACAATCCGTGTCAGAAAAGAAACAAGCAGCAGCCTTTCGCTGCAGAGCGCTTCTTCCTCCTCCAGAAAAACCCAGGCAGGCGAATTTTATACAAAATATTGCTTGCATAAGGCAGCGAGGGAGGTGTTTAGATGTGGGGATTGTTGATATTTGAGAAAACCAGAAATGTGTACAAAAAACGGGTTGTAAAAAAAAACAACTAAACACGCTGGTTTTGATAAAATCGAATTAAAAATGTCCCTCAGCTGCCAAGAAGTAACTAGTTAACTAGTCCTGTTCATATTAATCGAGATTTTGGACAAAACCCCTTCCAGGTTGGCACAATCTGGCAACTCTTCCTGAAAGCATAGGAAGGTCTGAAGACTTTTATAGATGAGCTGTCAAACAGATAAGAGCTCACAGCTTTAGTTCTGCACTTGGTCAATTTTAGGCTCTGATACTGACAGCAAACGCTGTTAACTAGAGAGCATCTGGGGGAAAAAATAGGCAAAAATACTGGATTGACAGCTCAGGCAGATCGATGTGAGGGCGCGGGTTGCCAGATTGTCACACAAAAAAGTATATTAAAGCAGCTGGTGATATTTTTGCTAATAATTTGAGCTTTGGTGCTGCTGTGCTGGCTGGAAAACAAACAGCATTCAACCCCAATTCTTTCTTCTTTAATAAAAAAAACGTAAATTTTGATATGCCCGTCCAGCGAGGTGGTAGGCAATCGTGTTGTGTATTAAAAAAAGGAAAAAAATCTTGATTGGTCGTTGAAAAAATGCGTTAAAATAAAACACACGGCCTCCAAAAGTCCAAACAATCGCTGGTTTCGATATTTCAAGCGTGACAGACGATCTGGCTACTTATTAAACAGCTCGAGCTGAACATATGCTAAGCTGTGGCTGTGTGCAACTGAGGAAAAATGAGTAAAAAAAAATAGGAGAAAAAACACGCAGCTAGCGTAACCATAACGTCGTTGAGCCAGGCAGATGTGATGTTTGCTAGCTGCTGTCATGTTACTGTACGCCTGTCAGGGGCTTGGGAGAACCTGCGATCCTATTGGATGGACGATACAGGAAGCGGGCTTCTCATTGGAAGCGTTCACTGTCAATCTGCAGGACCGTATCTAGAACGGACCAATGGCTGAGGCGCATTCTAAAGCGTGCCGTAAAGCGATTCCGCAAGATAATAGTGCAACTAAGTAGCACTGTAGCGCCATTTTGGATCGAGCGTACAACCTGTGCCGTAGTATTCTGGCATTTGCTCCTGAGCCAAAATGGATTATTATGCAAATCGTGTTGTTGTTATGCTGTGATTGGCTGGACTGCCGCAGCGCTGTCGCCTGTGATTGGCCGTCGTACCGGAACTCAACACACACACACACACACACCTCCCCTGTAAATGCTGATGGTTAAGATTATTTAACATGATTTGTACGTTTTAAACAGATAACAGTGGAATTATTGTCTAATTCTCCACTTTTATTGTTCATTTTTCTGGATATTTTAGACAAATTTAACACCATTAAACCATATGTGATGGACTCATTTCTAAAATACTGGAAGAAATGGACTGAATACTGTAATGTAAATAATCATTGACTATATATGCACTGTATGTGAGTGTATATGTAACAGAGAGAGACAGACAGACAGACACACACACACACACACACACATACATATATCATACACACACACACACACACGTTAAAAAGCAGAATGTATACCACTCTATTGAATTGTTTTTGTTTATTTTCTCACATTTCTTTCTGATGTAAAAAATGTTTTCTTACAAAATGTTCCAAAAAAAAAAGTAAAAATAAATTAATAAATAAAAGATGTGACGGTTGAATGATGCTAAAACTGCACAATAACACACTAATTGACAAAAACAAACACATTCATCAAGAGTTTCCATTTATTTAGCACTGCAGTTTTCACAGAATAAGGTATTCAAAACAAACAATCCTTCTAAACTGAGCTACTAGAAACTGCACTGACACTTACATAACAGCCACTGACTGAAAAACAAAACAGATGGAAAACTGCTGAAACACGTTTACATAAACTCGGGGAAGAAAAGGGAATACACGTTTTCATCACAAAGACGTCAAAGTCGCTCAAACGTGCTTCCAGACGACTCAATGAAATCCAAAGGTCTGTTGAAACCACCTTTCCTATTCATGTATTGCCTGCAAGAGAAATATGATTACATCATTGATCTCCTTCCTGCACCAAAACATTACATCACTGTCCACCAATGAGAGCGCTCGTCACTGAGCCATGCAGTACCTGCACAGGTGATTGGCCAAATACAGAACTGTTGCTGGGATATTAACTTCCCAAGTTACTTTTCTCATAATGCACGCCGTTTGTACATATAAAAAAGGGACTCAAAAAATAGAATGCAATAGCAAAATAAAGCGAAAAATTGCAAATCACTGAACTACTATCAAGTTGAAGATCTGGAGTTTTTCAGAAAAAAAAAGGTATATTGTAACATTACAGCACACAATATTTAAAGGTCCCATATTGTTAAAACTGAAATTTCCTGGCTTTTTTCACGATAACTGAGGTCTAGGGGCTATGTAACTACCATATAAGTTTCAAAACAGTCAGTCCACAGTAAAATGCACACAGTCTGCATAAAGTAGCTGTGATTTTTCACGAACCGTTGTGACTTCCGTAAAAAGTTGACGTCAGAACTACACAGTCACTGCCTTCAGTCACCCCCCCGAGCACCGCCCACGTCCCACTCTCCTTTAGCCAAAAATCATGACTTTTATATTACAATTGCTTGATTGTTAAAGAGCTCTGAGAGAGGAGCTGTTAAAATATATTGAGATGGTTTTTGGTACTTATACCGCAAATATATATTCTTAAGGACATCAAAACCTAAAATAAAACTCCAGAAAGGTGTAAAATATGGGACCTTTAAGATTTAATCTTCAACTTTAATTAGCAGGAATATCTTTCACACACTCTCTGTCTAGCTGTGCCATCTTGTGGTTATTTAGAGCATCAGCTTTGCCCAAAAAAAGAAGAAGCTGTAAACAGTTTGACAATAATACACTGCTACTATTTGTCAAGTATATAAAAATAAGATAATATACATTATTGCAAACAAACTGCAAAGTACATCTACTTCTCGTTTGGTGGTTCGAATAGGGTGAGCAGTAACTAGTTACAGTAATAATATTACTTTGTGCAGTAACTAGCAGTGTAACAAATTACTAATCACTCGATTTCAGTAATAATATTACAGTTACCATCCATAAAACATCTAGTTACTTATGATGCCTCAACCCCTACTGATCTGAAGTCCAACAAACCAATAATTCCTAGATTTATTTTCATAATTTGTATGACTTTCCAGGGTTCCCACTCTTTTTCGGTGATCATTTTACAGGACATTTTTATTTTAATTATGGCGGGAATAAAAGACAAGGAGAACGCCTTAAAGTAATATATTCCTCTCTGGAGAAGTCTTTAAAAACATACAGTTTATGGCCATGACTTGAAAATAAAATCAGCTCTTTAATATGAGCTCTTAATTATACATTACAACAAATGATTTTCAGAATCAATTTCAGTACCACAGCAAAATAAACCAAATGTATTGGAAGTATTTTATTTATTTATTTGAAAATAAAAATAAATTCATTATTTATGCTAACAATAATTTTAAAGAAAATATTTTAAAATATTGGCATGCATCCTTCAAATATTTTCAATTAAGTGTTGCTTAAGTGAAAACTGAGTGGATTCTGACTAGCTTAAACACCTCTGAGTACCAATAGCCTACTTTTGACAATAATCAAAATCAGAGGTGGAAAGAGTACGAAAATATTCTACTCAAGTACCATTACATTAATGAAATTTTACTTAAGTACAAGTAAAAGTACCAGTCTAAAAATCTACTCAAGTAAGTAAAAAGTAGCTCATTTAAAATGTGCTCTTACTCGTACTTACATTTTAACATTTTACATTTAAAGTTACATTTTAACAGTAGGAGGGAGGCAGAACCGAATCATTTAAACGGTTGATTCATTCAGGAACGAAACACACCGTCATGTTGCTCAGAGACGCAAAACTGTGCTATGGCGGCTGTGTCTGGAATTATTTTTGTTGTCGAAATAGAGCAAAAACAGGCGATCTGGTGTCTAAAATGCAAGTCTCTTAATTAACTAA